CAGCCGGCTGCGGGTGGTGCTTCAGGCGGTGAAACAGTACACACCTCCAGACCAAGCTCAATGTAATCCCGCACGAGTTACGAAGAGAACGAGGTAGCATGCCGCCATTGCCATCTCGCGTATGCACCTGTCCTGTGGAGGGTTCAAGCGGGAATTATGAGGCAGATGATGCGGCAGTAGACCAGCAGGCAGGCCATGGATCCTGGGCTGCAGGTACAGTATATGCGCGGGGGCTGCAGGAGGCACCAGGCCACATTGAGGCACGGCGTGTGCGGTACCAGGCTGTCAGCCGGGAGTGGCATGAATTCCTGGGGTTTAACCCAGGCCCAGGGGTGCGAAAGCGGGCACGGAACATGGAAAAGAGCGTTAGCAGAAAGGCTCAAAAACAGCAGCCATCATATGTAACAGTAGAAATAGATGATAACATAGAGCTATAAATGATAAAAGATATATATTTTTCTCATGCAATCATGAATTCCTGGGGTTTAACCCAGGCCCAGGGGTGCGAAAGCGGGCACGGAACATGGAAAAGAGCGTTAGCAGAAAGGCTCAAAAACAGCAGCCATCATATGTAACAGTAGAAATAGATGACAACATAGAGCTATAAATGATTAAAGATATATATTTTTCTCATGCAATTCATTATGACCAGATTTCCAACTTCAGCAGCTAGCTGTCATCTTTATAAATTTCAATACAAATCAGCCTTTCACCTCCGTTATAAAATGTATAATATTATATTTTCATAGACAACTCATCACAACCAGACCTTAAACTTCAGTAGCCAGTTATATTATATATACAGAGTATGATATTTTATTTTCAAGACATAATTTCATCAGAAAATCATATTATTACAACATTAAGGTAGATAAGTTGTTTTGCAGAGTTATCAATATTAAATATATATATTTCGCCCCAGGGCAACTACCATCATCAAAACGGTCACAGATCAGCGAAATAACAATCAGACAGAAATTAACATCATACATTTAAGTATTGATCTGCAATTGCTTAGAAGCATTACAAAACTTAAATTTAGAGCAAATTAACATTGTCGAGTGAAGTGTGTTTATACTTCATTTTCAAAGAATATATATATATATATATATATATATCAACTCAAGAATACACTGACTTCATTAACATGGAACATCAATTATTCATTCAGTGTGAATCATACCCCATCATCATATGCCGTCAATGCAAGTATGCAGTATGGCCAACAGAAATTGAACGGCATTTGAAGGGTTCAACTCATCAGTTAGAGTATACAGCCACACAGAGTATCAAGCAGATAATTCAACAGTGGGATCATATCGCGCATGATCTCGGCCGGTTGATATTATCCACAGAATTGAACAAACCAATACATGAGCCGCTCATCCACAATGGCTACATGTGTTGGCGGCAATCTGAATGTCAGTATGTTGGAGGAACTATACGGAGCATGTACAAGCACTGACAGACCCAACACAGCTGGACTCCATGTCCCAGTCAGGGTTGGATGTCATCACAAAACCATATGCAGGTACAGAATGAGATCAACAAAGTAAATAAAAATAGCAAAATATATAAAAAAACTGAAAGGGTTCATTCTGGAGTGATTTTAAACACAGAAAAACAAAGATTAGTCGAACACGCTGGACCCAAGCCGTTGGACGTCAAACCCGTTGGACGTCAAACCCGTTGGACGTCAAACCCGTTGGACGTCGAAGCCGTTGGATGAGCGCATCAACCCGTTGGAAGTCGAACACGCTGGACCCAAACCCGTTGGATGTCGAACCCGTCCAAGGAGCGCATTAACCCATTGGACCAGAACCCGTTGGATGAACCCCTCAACCCGTTGGATGAACCTATCAACCCGTTGGACCCATCCCGTTTGGACGTCATACCCGTCCCACGAGCGCATTAACCCGTCGGGAGTTGAACACGCTGGACCCAAACCCGGTGAACGTCGAACCCGTCGGATGAGGAAGGGGCACACGCTGGACACAAACGCGGTGATCGTCATACCGGTTGGACGTCGAACCTCGCTCCAGGAGCGCGCTAATCCGTTGGGAGTATGAACACGCGGTAGCCATACGGGTTGGTCGTCAAATCTGTCCAGGGAGCCGATGTACCCTTTGGACGCGAACTAATTGAATGAACCCATTTCACCC